AAAAAAGATGTTTTTATCTCTTATGTAGGCTAGAAACCAAGATAAAGCTTTTATCCACTCATTCAAGTATTTCATGATTTTATTGATCCTCCATGACACCATGTCTTAAAGCAAATTTATTTACTCTTAATTAACTTTGATCATATGATAAGCGATCATGAATTAAAAAAATTGCTTAATGTGACTCAAAAAGCATTTGCTTACATTAAATTACATTTCATAATATCAAAGTAAGCGAAAGCATTGTTCCAAGTGAGTGACAAGTTGTGATTCATCTAAATCTTTACCACTATATCATAAACATATATTTTATGGTGTACTCTATAAAATCTCTAAAAACTTTATTAATGCATTGTTGGTTACATTTTTAATTCATGATCTATGACTTCATAAGCATATTGAACTTTATTTATTTGACAAAAAAGGGGCTTCTAGATTTATTGGGTTCATCATTATTTAATTATAGCCAAAGTAAGCATTCAATAAACTAAGCATTAAATGTCCTTACGCTAAGCATTAAATGTCCTTAAGTGGAGTTAGAGGTTGATCTATATGGGGGAGAAAAATGATCTTTTAACTGATATGTAATGTTGTTAGTCAATTGAATTTCATTCCATGTGCCACTCTATCCCTCTTAACTATAATGACATGTTAAAACAATTGGGATGACACACTTCTCACATGGTCCTCCACTTGTTTTTTATTTTTTGTTAAATTTCTTGCATGCAAACTAGCTTTAATTTATGTTTTGTTTTATGGATTTCTCGCTTAAATGTTTTGCTTATCATATGGAGTTTTTGATTACTTAAGTGTAAATTCCAAGCATATATGTGGTGCTTCGAAAAATGATTTCTTGATTTTTATATATGAAGTATATGTATGTATGTACATATATATATATATATATTAAATTTTGTGAATCTAAAGTAGAAGAACAAGCTGGTATTATCTAGTGTATAAGCTCATATTATTGGTGGAATTAGATCTTTAATGGGAGAAGTCTCTTAAGGTATAACGTCATCCAATATATTAACTTTCTTGATGCTAAAGATAACTAATGGTGATAGTTGAGCATGTCTTAGATAACATTATTATACTCCCAATTAATTTTCATTTACAACTCTATCCAAATGTGGCTAAAATCTTTATCTTATGGTGTGATATATATGAAGTAGGTCTAAATATTACTATTATGGCCTTATAAAGATGACATTATATGTTGATTCTAAAATAACAAGTGCAAATTTGATCAGGTCCGTAAATTATTAAGTGAATTCCTCAAACATAATGGGCAGAATAGTTGTTCCATCCACTCTTACTTGCTAATAATTTAACACATATAGTGATTCATTCAAATTTGAAGTTTCTCCAAAATTAATTTAATTTAAGTAAATTTGGCGTAAAAGTAAACATCAGCATAACTCGTATTATTAAGTAAGATGTTTTTAATGTTGTGGCATTGACTATTATTTCATACATTAATGAAATATGGTTCCAAATGTCAAATTTGAACTCTCTATTAATAACAATCATTAAAAGTAATGGAATGATTGATAAATAATTTTTTAGTACTAACTGCTAGAATATTGAATAACAACTAGTCCCCAATAATTATTTCAAAACTACTCATTTTATGTTTTTTTTTTAAATATTACATTTATAAATTTTTTTTTCAAACAATGGAGTTGATGGTTATCCATGACAGATACAAATCACCCTCATAATTTCAATAGTTGATTTTTACATTTTTTGGTGGTTTGTATTAGACTTTGCTGGAATTTAAAATATTAATCATATTTCTTGAATTTTGTTTTAATAGAAGTGGCCACTAAATATTGTCATTTTCTTAAATGGACATCTAAATAATAACATAAGATGTATTGTGTTGTGGGTATTCTTTTTTTTTTCTTTTTGTTGAACATCATGTCAATAGTTTTGAGGCTAAGGGAAGATGTTATCATTTCCTTTTTTTAAAATATATTTCTTCTGTTTTTATATTTGATTAGTATCTCATGCAACATTTTTGTGCCTACATTATGGCTTCTTAGTAATTTGTGATTCTTCATTGTGGACTAGGTTGTAGAAAGAACAAATAATATGTTTCATTAACAAACACTAGAAAAGCCCAAAAGGGAACTCTAGAAGAAATATTGCTTTTAATAGCTTAGAATAAAAAAATGTTAAATTTGACAATTCCCAATAAAAGATTTCTAGAATTACTCCTTAAAAAAGTTCTCTTTATATTTTTTATGAATTAACGATAGTTTATATGAGTTATTAGTACTCCTTCAAATATGATAAATTGATCTACAATGAGTCATGAAAACTCAATTGAAGCGTGGATTGCTTCACTGGAAGAGAATAAATCTAAGTATGAGCTTGCACCATTGAGGAAAGTAAGAAATGTTTAATTTAATATCATATCAAAGGCTCATTTAATATGTATGATGATCTTGCAACATTCAATGGGTTTGTAAGAGTGAGACTCCTTACCATAATAATCTATGTTCAAAGGCATTAAACTAATTGGAATGATGCTTTTAATAAATTGTTTCAGTTAGAGCAAATGATTCTTAAAAATTATCAAGGGTGAGAAAAAGATTCTTTTCCAATAAGAGAACTTTTTCTTAGATCGTACATCATAAATTTTCATATATGATAAGGAAAGGATGCAATTAGCCAAGGATGATCTAAATACCTGATGATAAATTGAGGATTATGAGATTGTTTAGGCACGTGTGGTGGAATTTGTAAATGTCAAGAAAGTCAGTATCGTGTTATCATTGAAAGAAAATTTTATTGTGGCAGTAAGGTGCAATATATGAATGTTCTCAATTTGAGCTGCCCCAACTAACAGCCCATCCTAAGGGGCGTGAATCCCTTCCCTTTGTGATGGTATTGGCTACCAATACCTATATAAAAATAAAATAACTTATTTAGAAACAAAATCTATATTATGCATGCAGCCTTTTAAAAATGGACTTGATGCAACATTGTCAACATTATTATCCTTGTTGTAAGAGTGAGACTCCTTACCATAATAATCTATGTTCAAAGGCATTAAACTAATTGGAATGATGCTTTTAATAAATTGTTTCAGTTAGAGCAAATGATTCTTAAAAATTATCAAGGGTGAGAAAAAGATTCTTTTCCCATAAGAGAACTTTTTCTTAGATCATACATCATAAATTTTCATATATGATAAGGAAAGGATGCAGTTAGCCAAGGATGATCTAAATACCTGATGATAATTTGAGGATTATGAGATTGTTCAGGCACGTGTGGTGGAATTTGTAAGTGTCAAGAAAGTCAATATCGTGTTATCATTGAAAGAAAATTTTATCGTGGCAGTAAGGTACAATATATGAATGTTCTCAAGTTGAGCAGCCTCAACTAACAACCCATCCTAAGGGGCGTGAATCCCTTCCCTTTGTGATGGTATTGGCTACCAATACCTATATAAAAATAAAACAACTTATTTAGGATCAAAATCTATTATGGATGCAGCCTTTTAAAAATGGACTTGATCCAACATTATCAGCGCTGTTATCTTATTTGGGAGAAAAAGGTGAAAATCTTTTAACATCGAGATTGTTTTCCATAATGATGGATTTTATAGTCATTTTTGTTATTACTATGCCTATTGACCATCAAATAAGGGTTTATGAAGCTCTCAAAAGTTATATTATCTTCCACAGATGGTGCCAACTTTTATATGTAAGGAAATCTATGTCTATAAAATAAAAGAATTTTATATCATTAAATTTCAAAAAGAACCCGTTGAAAAGTTGATAAATAAATAGCATAAATAAAACCAAAGAAATTTTATACGAAAAATATAATAAGTGAGAAGCCAACATGCTTAGTTTAATTGAAATAGTTTTATTGTTTGAGTATATATTATAATAAATGTAGTGTGCCTCCAAAGTAAGAAAAAGTGTGATTAAAATATTGAGTATTGATTGTTTAGCTTCCTATAAAGATAAAGGAAATGTTGGCAAAATCAACACAAATAAGATGCTAACACACAATTGTTGACAGATGATGGTGCTAAAGTATTAGTTCTAGCAACAAACATCAACTTATAATGGTTAAATGTCAACGATCATTTGATAGTGGTTAGATGGGATTCAAACAATGATAATTGAACTATAGTTGACTCGTGATGACGATTAAACGAAGTTAGCTAGACGACTATCAAATCATCTTAGTTGAATGATGATGATCTTTAATTGTGGTTGTTACTGTTAAATGCCAACAAAGATCCAAAGTTCAAGTCTGTTCATGTGGTGAATGGTAATTTATTTATAATTATTGAGCGAAATTTTGGTGAACCTTGCCAAAACAATTTGAATATATTATATTGATTCCTTTGATTGTAGTATAATCCTTCAATATTTAAGCACTTTAATATCATGAAAAGTGAGAGATTTTGAACTTGTAAGATTCTTCTTCTTGAGATGCAAGATTTGAATGCAAGTATATATAGTAATTGTATATTGCTATACTCTTTGATTAACATTTTGAAAATTTCAACTATACTTTAGCCGTTGAATATACTCAATTAGAGTCCAGTTTTGGATCACCTTTGAAGTTATTATATTTGTATCTCGACAAGTTTAGCAAATTAACTATAAATTTGTTAAAATTAGAGCTCAAATAATTTGAAATTTGGCTATCAAAGTCATCTCATCTAAAATAAATTAATATTTGTGCATGCTCAAGTAGATTATTATGGTGGCATTTCAAAATAAAATTTGCTTAACAAATTTAACAACACTTTTTCTCTAGAATACAAGTTTTTCTCAAGCATCATCTTTTCCAAAGGCCAAGGTGTCAACTTATATCATTCCATATTTACTGCCTGAAAATGAAAATTGCAGCTAAAGTTCAGAGAAAAGAACGGACCCACCTGGGCCCCTTTCTTCCAATAAAATTTACCCTATTTCTTCCCATAAGAAACAAGGCATTGCTTTTACTTCAAATTGAGGCCACCCACTTCACAAAAAGTTCCATGCCCTTCCACAAAGGAGACCCACCACAGCAAACCTCCCACTAACTCTCAAACTCTCCATCACCTAGAAACAATTTAAAATCCTGACAATCCCTCATTCTCAATACAATAAGCAAATATATGCTACAAGAACAATCATGCTGACGAAAATTTATCTTATTTTTCTTCTGTTTTTCAAATTCCACTCCCTGGTGTCTTGTAACTTCATAATATCCAACAATTGCCCGTATACAATCTGGCCTGGGACGCTGGCTGGCGCCGGAACATCGCAATTATTGTCGACGGGATTTAGGCTCGATCCAAGTCATTCGGCAAGGTTGGCAGCACCATTAGGGTGGTCAGGCAGGATATGGGGGAGAACAGGGTGCGAGTTTGATGGCAATGGGGTCGGTTTTTGTGCAACAGGAGACTGCGGTGGCAAGTTGCAGTGCGCCGGGGCTGGTGCTGCACCTCCGACTACCCTGTTTGAGATCACCCTTGGGACAGGACAACAAATGGATTTCTATGATGTTAGTCTTGTTGATGGATATAATTTGCCACTTTTTGCAGCGCCCAGGGTGCGATATGGAACATGCAACTTTACCAGTTGTACGACCGACCTCAATTCTGGTATTATATATCATTCATCCAAGATAAAATTTTTTGTATGAAATTTGCATGCATATAAATTTTTTATATGACTTGCTGTATATAACGACATTTAATCTGGTTGTGCAATATGATTGTATAAGAAGTCTATATGCATGCAAATTATATATGCATGCAATTTATGTATGTTATTCTGATCAACATTATTTCTCTCTCCCTTCCAGTTAGTCTAATCAACACCCAAACAAAATTCCCATCATCTATGTTGATTCTTTATTTCAAAAACAAAATATGATTGCATGATAGGGGGATTTATATACATATCACCTTATATTAATTAGTTTTTACATCTAGCATCCAAAAATTTAAAGTTACATACATACCACCTAATTCATTTTTGTTCATTGTTAATACTACTTTGTTAAAGCTTACTGCCCAGATCGAACGTCTTTGTGCTGGGTAAGAGCGAATATTGCGAGCACAGGCGCATGTGTGAACCCGTGGTATTTGAGTGATGTTGCACTTCAATACCACCGCAATACCACAAAGGCTACCCTATTACCACACCAATACTACCGATCCACCACACCCGTACTACTGATCCACACTTAATTCACACCTATCTCATCTACACATAATAATTTTTCAAGCCTCAATATGTCATTGTGTCGACAAAAAGAGCAGTTGGGCTATCTCATCTACGCGTAATATTTTTTCACACCTCAATCCGTCACTAAGATCGACAAAAGGAGCAATGGGGCGAACGAAGTAAGATTTGGTTTCGTAGTACTTTGTGAGTTGCATTCCTGTTGTTATGATCAAGTGGAGGTGCAGCGTGGCTAAAGGTAGGTATGTCCGGACTGTTGCATCTGGTCTGGACTCCAGACATAATATTTTTTTCCTAGCACTGGTGGATATGACTAACCGGAAAAAATTGGATGGTATGTATGTGAATCCCCCTCTCTAATAAAATTTAAATAGCAGGATTTATTATTTGAGTGCTAGAAAATAATTTCTGAGAAAAAAAATGCCTTCATAACGTAGAAGAGCGTACGAGCATGACTTCCATGATATTCTCAGATTGTCCGAAGGAGCTTCAGGTGGTCGATGTTGATGAGAACGGAGAAGGTGGAGTGGTAGCCTGCAGGAGTGCATGTGATGCATTTGGACTTGATCAATATTGCTGTAGCGGAAAATTTGCTAGTCCAAGCACCTGCAAGCCATCAAATTACTCCAGCATCTTCAAGAACGCATGCCCCAATGCCTACAGCTACGCTTTTGATGACAGAACGAGTACTTTCACCTGCAAGGCACAAGAGTATATCATTTTATTCTGTCCCAACTATAACAGGTGAATTCTATGAAACATAACAAAGGCATTTTATGTAGAGTCGTCATCATAAAATCCCAGCGTTGCATCTCTATGGCCATTATTCCTTAGCCTCAGGTCTCAGTTCTTATTCATTTCTTTTGTAAGCTCATTTACATTTCATGTGGTAGGATTTATGCTGGTCATCCTCATAAGAGTTGATTATGTCGTGCAGTTTCTTTCACACAAAGGTGAACAGAAGTTTAATTGAACTGAAAACTTCTTATAGCAGTCATCCCCTGTTTGGGATCACTATTTTTATTTTTTATTTATATTTTTACTTGATATAAAATATATTGGATATATTTTAATAAATTTTATTATTTTTAAAAACACTCAAAATAACTATGTTTTGAATGCTTTTAAAACAAGTTAATTTATAAAACAAATTTTCTTTTTAAATAAAAGTATAAAAAAAAAGCTAAAAATATAAGTCATCCTAAACAAATCCTAAGTATTTCAAATCCCTGAAATTTTAAGATGGCTTGAATTAGTTGAATTGACCAGTTGTAAAACTGGTAATCCTATATGTGGCACCTATTTAAAGCAAATTTTTGGCAATATTTCTCCACTGGTTAGGTTGCATTGTCTCAAAAAAAAAAACTAACCTATATTCTTCAAAAGCTCAGCCCTGTAAGAGTGTCTGATTTTTTTACCATGTTTTTTTTATGATGCCAAGCATCATGGCACATTCTCTGCCTTCTTAACATGTCATTTTTTAGGCTCAAACTTCTAATATGATTTAGTCAAATCACATTTTCTCAAAACATCACAATTTTCTATTTTCTAATTTTTTTTACAAATTACATAACTTTTTTATTCAGAGCAAAGATATATTTATTTTAGAGCAAAGCTATGTTGAAAGCAAAGAACATGGGCAATTTCAATATTTTTCCTTTGATTCAAATTATGAGAACTCACTCAGAACTTCCAATAAATGACAACTCCTTTTCTACAATTGGTAGAGGGAAAAGATCAGATGATTCCTCAACAGTCCAACCAATGCATGGAGAACCATCAGAAGTTATCGATAACGGAGAAGAACCTCAAGAATATGACACTGGTGATGGAGAAGAACCTCCCGAAATGATCTCCTCGTCAAGCATTATTGATACCTCTTTATTCCTAATCTTATTCTTAGAAGCACTTTTCCAATGAAGATGAGTTCCAGCAACATGGAAAACTAAAGAGAAGATGTTGACTCTGAGAATTAAATATCAAGAGAAAGATGAGAAAGAGAAAGGGTAGCACTAAAGCGACTGATATGGATGGAAGAAAAGGTCATCAATTCTAAATGAGACTCAGTTTAACAAAAGAAAAACTCATCAATATCAAACTTTTTTTATGACACATTAACCATTTAAGGATGCTATTGAAAGTAGTAAAAACATTGTATGTTGGTGGTAGAATATTTTTCTTTTGAAGATTACATGTTTTATTTAATTTTGTGTAATGGCTGCACTAGAATTTACATGTTGCAGAAACTAAGGTTTCCATGACAAATTTAACATTATAACTTTGCTCCTTTTTCTGAATAAAACATAGCTCGGTAAAGGAAAGAGGGAATAAAATATAATCATATCACTGAAAGATGCCATACAGCCTTGTGGTAAAATGCTAAAAGCAAAATTGGGCAATTGTTAAAATGCATCAAAGTGTTCATAAAAAGATTGAAGACTAGAAACCATAAAACTGCCAAATCCCTTTATTTAAATACAAGTTTAGGTGATTTAGACATAAGGAAATGATTTCTTTTTGACCAAACAATTTCTTACCACCTCATTTTGCACAATGATTCGCCTCGACCCATAGATATTTCTTTTTTGCTTATTTTGGTTGCAAATACAGCGCTGGTTACATTAATGAGTAGTTCAACAGTGTGGTGCACAATAAGAATTGTTAGCATGAATAAATTTAATCTGGTTGTGCAATATGATTGTATAAGAAGTCTATATGCATGCAAATTATATATGCATGCAATTTATGTATGTTATTCTGTCAACATTATTTCTCTCTCCCTTCCTGTTAGTCTAATCAACACCCAAACAAAATTCCCATCATCTATGTTGATTCTTTATTTCAAAAACAAAATATGATTGCATGATAGGGGGATTTATATACATATCACCTTATATTAATTAGTTTTTACATCTAGCATCCAAAAATTTAAAGTTACATACATACCACCTAATTCATTTTTGTTCATTGTAAATACTACTTCGTTAAAACTTGCTGCGCGGATCGAATGTCTTTGTGCGGTGTAAGAGTGAATAATGAGAGCACAGGCAAATGTGTGAACCTGTGGTATTCGGGTGATGTTGCACTTCAATACCACCGCAATACCACAAATACTACCCTAATACCATACCCGTACTACTAATCCACACTTAATTCGCACCTATCTCATTTGCACATAATCATTTTTCACACATCGATTTGTCACTGTGGTCTACAAAAAGAGCATTCGAGCTATCACATCCGCACATAATATTTTTTCACTCCTCAATCTGTCACTGCGATCGGCAAAAGGAGCAATGGGGCGAACGGATTAAGATGGGGTTTCAGAGGCCTTCGTGAGCTGTGTTCCTATCGCTATGATCAAGTGGAGGTGCAGTGTGGCTTAAGGTAAGTATGTATCTCAGAAAAAAAATATTATGTTTGGAGGCCACACGTAAGTTGTGTCCAAACTGGATGCAGTTTGCGTCTGGACTCCTGACGTAAATTTTTTTCGAATAAGGCAGTGATGGATATTGTTGTGAAATATGTACTTCCTAGCATAGAAATGAAACGCAAAGAACACAAGCAAACACAAATCGTTTACGTGGTTCGATCCAACTGGATCTACGTCCACGGGAGGGAATCAATCAAATATTTCACTAAGGCAAAAGAAATGGAGAATATATAGCTTATACATAGAGATGAGCTCTCATCTTCCTTCTATGGCCTCCCTCTCAAGCGACACCTTGATACAAGACCTCAAGATGCTCTCATCCTCTCTAGCTGTCTAGCTATTCTCTTCTCCTTTGTGGTAGCTTAAGATCTCTTCCCTTGCTCTCCTAAGCCTCACACCCTCTCTATTTATAGAAGCAAGAGAGTGGTAGGTGGGAGGTAGGTGAGCGGTACCACATTACAAAAGTGTCATTTTAACTTAGTTCAATAATTGGGGGTCAAAATAACAATTCTGCACCTTGACCCTCAATTGAGAAGCTTCAAAGTAAAGATTCCCTCTACCTGGCCCCTGAGGGGCCCTCAGCCCTTGTTTGAGTTTGCTAAGTCCAAACAGTACATGGACTTAGCGATCATGATTCTTCTGATAATAGAGTACAACCCCTTTTTCCTGACTTCTTGTATGACAACACGAGGGCCTTTGGTTACTCTGATGCAGCTATTCTCTGCCTTGAACGAGCATCTGTTTGACTCCAGCGTACCTAAAAAAATTAGATTTATTTTGAGCAATGGTACGTACCTGACATTTTTTAGTACTCGTTCAACTCCATCAAACATCCTCATCCCGATTGATTCACTTCGAACAACCCTGTGAGTTTTATTGTCTCCCAGTAGAACAGGACCATCATTTTCCTTTAGTAGTGTCTCGAACCAGTCTTTGTGAGGACACATGTGGAAAGAACACCCTGAGTCGAGGATCCACTCTTTACTGGATTCCGATTTTGTGATCACCAGGGCCTCAACATAATCATATTCATCAGAGGCTACGCTTGCTTCTCCTGATTCTTCTGGCTCTTCTTGGTACTTATTCTTCCTGTCTGGGCAGTTCCTCTTGAAATGACCGTCCTTGTGACAATGATAACACTTGAAAGATCCCCTTGATGACTGATTCCCGCCATCCTTGCTTGACCTTGATCTGTACTGACTTGTCCCTATCATGCTTCCTCTGAAGTTCTTTGGCTCTAATCAGAGATTGAACCTCCTCCAGAGTAATAGTTTGCACCCTTCCTTAGAGCATTGCATCCTTGACATGCTTGTAGCTCTTAGGAATAAAGTTTAGCAACAGCAGTGCCTTGTCCTCATCGTCCATCCTGAAGTCGATGTTCTCGAGGTCGTCGATGATCTTGTTGAACTTGTCGATCTGCTCTGAGACGGATTTGTCTTCATACATTTTGAAGAAGTATAGGTGCTGCTTCAGAAAGAGTCTATTAGCTAGAGACGTTGTCAGGTAGAATACCTCAAGTTAGGCCCAAAGTGTTTGAGCCGTTGTCTCCCTCTACACCTCCCTCAGAACTTTATCGCCTAAGCTCAGGATTATCAAACTGTGGGCCTTGTCCAGTATGCCGATCTTTTCATTCTCGGTCATATCGGCCGGCAATGCCGCCGACCCCTGCAAGGCTTCTGCACACCCTGTTGAACCAATAGAGCTCTCATCCTTACTCTCCATAGGCCAAAATCATTATTCCCGTTAAATTTCTCAATGTAGAATTTGGCGGAACCCATTATTGTGGCTTGATCCCCACTAACGTCTGAAATCCGCTTCGCTGAGCGCCTACTAAATTCCGAGAGCTGTCGCGGCGTGCTTCGTGTGCTCCTGTCACGGCTTGTCTA